ATCCAGCTTGTCTCTATATCTTAGCTAATGTTTGGGTGCTGAACCCCGTATGTGGGAGCAGGATTATAAGAATCAGTTCAGTCAAGTTCAATTGAGTTTTTGTGAAACAGCTTCAGTGATGAAATGCAATTAGGTACCTACTGATGGTGAAATTGAAATTTTGAGAAATAAGAAAATACATGCTCTTGCTTGGTAGCGTTGAATTCAAGCAAGTTGCGAATTCCCCCAAGTGAAATTCTAGCAGAATCGTGAAATCATAGTTAGCTGGAATGAAATAGGATTCCTGAAAGAAAATAATGGGGGTCTACTATCATTTGCGAAGCTGTGGATTAAAGCATGTGGTAACCCCAAACAGATCATCGATATGGATAAGGAACAATGCTTGTGTCAATCAGATCATCACTATATCATCAGACGGTACTCCGTTCAGAACCCACATGGATATCTATAACATACCCCCAGATGAATAATATATCACAATGTCAGTTGAGAGTTATATGGTCTTGTGGGATAGAGAATAACTTACCATGATTCGTTCCTCCTGGATGTATAATTTATGATCGTAATGAAGTGTCACCCCTATGTTACTCTTTGATATTAGTAGAAAATGAAGATTCTTTTATTCTCGAATCAGTATAGGATCCTCGGTCTTTTCATGAATATACCTATAACTCTTTGATATTTTCCGGTGAGAAAAGTGAATATGAGGTAGCCAGGGCTATAGGCAGTAGAATCATTAACATCATCTCAAGGAATATATAATATACAGGGCAATTCAGATCTGGGAGTGAGACTGGTTCCTCATAATATTATGTGAATTTTGAATCATAATGAGCAAATTCGATTCAATAGACTGAGTGATATTAACCAGGAAGAAATGTACCAACAATTTGATAGTTCACTTCAAATATTTTTCAGTCGGCTTGTATTGGGAATCAGTCGTCCTCTATAACCAGGGCCGATCCTAGGGTGTCGACCGCCCGCGTGCATAAACCTAATGTGCCGCCCCTCTAGAGAATTTTTCATATTTTTTAACTATAATACCTGATGACTTCATAACTTCAACTACTTGTACAAGGATAAGAAGTAAAACACAGAAAAAAAATGTAGACAAAACCTTCATGCGCCGCAGGCGAATTTTTTCTGAGTTCAAGGTCAAATGCTTTCAGGTAATAACTCCATTTCAGTGCATACCGGGAGCGGCCAAGAAACTCAGACAAAATTTTCCTATGGCAAAAAATGCGCCGCAGTCGAAATTTTTGTTGGGATTCAAATTCATCACATTAGTATATTACAGTTTACTGTAATTGATATAAAATGATCTGGAATCTGAAAATAAGAACAATAAGAAGAGCAAGTGAAAAGTATTTTAAATGGTGTCTGTAGTTAACCAAGTGGATGTTCTCCAGATTTTTTGGGATTTTCTCTCATAGTCTCTTAGTAAGTAGTAGAAATGCATAAATAAGCTACCGCACAGTGATGGAACGAAACATCCTTAGGCGTCTGAAAAATATGCCCCTTGGTTATTGTTTCAAATAGAAATTTAAAATTTGGGAAGATAAGGATGTGTATAAAAAGTAGACATTAATTGACAATGGACAATGGACCAACACACTATTTACTATCATTTTATTTATTCAATATGCAGCATATTCATTCGACTTATGAGTTTCAAATAATTTTGTTTGATAGGACAATATGCGGCCTGCGGCCGCCCCTTGTTTTGGCCGCCCGCGTGCGGGGCACGCGCTGCACACCCGCTAGGATCGGCCCTGTCTATAACCATCAGGTTATTGATATCATTCATGCGTGGTGATTATTATACACTTATGTTTTGCCATTGGGGACAAGATGCGTCTACAGGGACGCAATTTGTTACTCACGATTATTAAAAAATGTGTAGTTACTCAATGCAATAGCATGTTTGTACGAGACAGTTTTGCTTTTTACTGAGAATTATCTACTTGTCATGATAGATATGCGAGTCCCAGTAATTAATGAGGTTTTTTTCCATACGATGAGCATTTATATATTTACTCATGTGACTGGAAATTCGATACTCAAAATTTTTATTCATATAATTTTCATTCATATAATTCAAATAATAAAAAATGAACACCTTCTGATTTTACTCCTCTTCATGACGTCATTTACCGATAGGCTAAATTAGTGACATATTCCGCAACAACCAATGACAGCAAGAATTCACTTCCACCGTAGAAATGTACGTTTACTGAGGCTATATTCCCAAACTGACAGTACTGAATCTGCAGATTTTTCATTCCGAAAACAAAAAAACTCACTGAAATTGACAGATATTTGTGAGCAGACATACTATTCATACCAAATATTTCGACCCAACATTCTGCTGAAATTGCTTACTATCAGATTGTATATAGGCTATATTCTGAATTCAACAGGTCAGTACTGTCAGTAGATCCACTGAATCTGCTGAAAATCTGTGTTCCGAAATATAAAATCAAAAATACAGTGCTGTAATTCGGGACACGTTTTCATGGTTTTCATCAGTAGTCAGCAGCAGTTGATCAGCTGGTGAAATTTGTCAGTCTGTAGTTTCTCGTTTATCTGGACTAGATATTCAATATTCAATATTCAACATGGAAGAGCAATATCGATTCTTGTAGTCTCCATAGTTTCTACGATTATTGACGATGACGAATCAGGCTCGAGTGATGAAGAATACTTGGACATTTTGTTGCCATTAATTTCTCATGATGCACCAGATTGAGAATTGAAAGATTTATAGAAAACGTAATGATGTTGAATTCAGGAGACATTTCAGGTTTATTTAGTTATTTATTCAGCCAATACTGCTTCATCTTTTGTTACCTCTACTACTTCATACTCAATATTATTCTCAGCGCTAATTATTTCAATAACAGGTATTTTCTGATATCGAGAATATTATTAACAACGGATATGAGTGTTAAATTCCTTCCCCCACTGAAATAATGACAGTTCACTGAAGCCACACTACCTTCTGATACCCAGCAATTTCAGCAGAATGTTGAGAAATATTTGGAATGAATAGTATATCTGCTCACAAGCATCTGTCACATTCAGTGATTTTTTTTTCATTTCGGAATGAAAAATCAGCAGATTCAGTACTGTCAGTTGAATTCGGAATGTAGCCATGGTGTAGCTTCAGTGAACTGTCATTATGCTAGAGGACAAGGAATGTCACATTGTTTTCCGTTGTTTCCTGAACACTGAGTCTTGTTTCATCAATAATAAATCAATAATATCATATTTGATATCAGAGAATGCCTGTTATTCTGATAGTTGACGCTGAGAATCACATTCAAATTACACCAGCTGATCAACTGCTGCTGATTACTGATGAAAACCATGCAAACGTGTTCCGAATTACAGCACTGTACTTTTGATTTTATATTTCGGAACACAGATTTCACAGTTGAATTCGAAATAGCCTGAGATATACACAATACACTTATTAGATAATGAATAAGAAGAAGATTTCTCGAATTCTATTTATAATCCGAAATAACCCATTTATTACAACTTCATCAAATCTAGTAGATTTAAATCAAAGATAATTAATCGTCTTCCTGAGTGCAATGAATGAGAATCAGAATCCAAAACCGAATATGGGTTGGTATAACTAAAATTATTATAATGATTTTATCTCAATAATTCAGGTCATATCGTGTTGGTGAAGTAAATTTTAGATTCACTGCATTCTACGACTGTTTTCTTCTTTCAATGCTAGCAGGAAACTATCTGAAAGTTTTCCCGACGAACAATTTTTGCTATTTTCCGCAAAGAGGTACCAAACATATCTGCTCTCGTATTCATATCGTCGATATTTCTATGATAATTTCCAAACATGAATAAAAAAAAATCGTGTTGCATAAATCACAAAATTTAAATTATGAAAAAGACGGCAAACGAGTAGAAAAGTAAAAAATACCGCCATAAAGATAGAAAGTTATATCGGAATCTCATTACCCAAAAGTTCATGTGGTAAATGACAATCATAAATATTCTTGCTCTGACTGACTGAAATGGAGGAAGGTTTCGTGATTCGTATAGTATAAAATTGCAATATGATTGGTTAGGGCGTTTGTCGTCACACTCAACATTCTGCGTTCATTTTGTTATTTTTGTTATGAAATATCGTAGATTCCAACAATTATTTTGGAAATGTACCGACATTTGATAAGTAATCGGTTTTCGGTATTGAACAGCTCGCAAAATTACTTCCAAATAATTAAATACATTATTTCAATCGATTAAATATCACATCATTGGTGAAATGTACGTAGCACGTACTTCTATAAATTAACTCGAGAATTCATAGCTCATGAAGTATCAACTTCGGAATGTTGTTTGGTTGAATAGATATTTCGTGGAACAACCATGAAATTTATAATAGCCACTTTTTGATAGGACTCATCATATTAAATTGAGCCATGCACAAGTCAAGGAGAATGCCTAGAATTTTTCTTAAAAAGTTTGTGTTTCGAAAAAAGAATCTGATAGCACTTGTTGAGGTTGACTGATTGTCTATTTGTGAGGCAGTAAGCAGAAAATTTATTTGTCATCTTGAAACCCGTGATAGTCAGATGGTTGCCTAATTTCTCTATATGCTTTCAAATCATCTGCGGATAACTTTATTTTGAAATCAATAAACTGGTCCTCAATGTCACTCACGAATATACTGAACAGTAGTAGGCCTAGATGTGGTCCCTGGGGTACACCGGACTCAATGAACCTTTTCTCTGATCTATATAGATCTGTATAGATGTACTTTCGTTTATTTCTTCGCTAATTTCTGAGTTTTCACAAGAAGCTCTGGGGAATTAATGAATCCTAGTATGTATTTGCTTGAAATTCCTATCATCTCGAACCTGAATGGATTAGGAAAGAGCTTTAGAATTCATCTCCAATTAGCTGGAGATACTTGAGATCTTTTTTCGTCTTGATTTCATAGATTTCTTCTTCAGCTATTTTCTTACCCTTAATATTCTGAAGGGGCTCTGTGTTATGAGGCACAATCCTTCAGGTGGTTTATCTGATGCATTGCTGAGCCGGTGCGATTTTCCTTCACCAGGTAACATATTTTGAAGCTCCCCTGTGTTCTCGCTAGTGCTTTTCAGCCCAATTTTTGCTTTCAGGCTACGTATAGATGACAGCAACCATGACTGCAATGATAAATAATAATAATAATAATGATTTGTCTTTATTTGTCCTCACAAAAACAAAATAATACCGAGGGCAAATGGGCGAAGTCTAGTCATGACCAGACGAATCAAGTCAATTCCTACTCAAATCAAATTGATAACTTAGATTCCTAATATACGAGGCTTTAAGAGCAAATAATTAATTCTATTATTCTTTGGTTATAACAATGAAGGGTGATTTCTGTTTAGCATAGTGAGAGAAACATTTAGGATATATGTTTATATTATTATGTACACGCAAGTTCAGGGATATTTGAGAAGATACAGCACGATATTGTTTTCGAATAATTTGAATCATTTTGAAAATAAATCATTAAATCTAGAGAACTTTATAATGTTCTATATTATTCAATACACATTTTTCAAATTCCACAAGAATATTTTACGAAACTTCACAGTAAAGTAAAATAACTTATATCACTATGAACTCACAGTTTTGATGATATCTATTCAAATGTGAGATATTTTTGTTTATCGGCTGTCCCAGAGCTTTTCAGCTTTCAAGCCAACAAACAACAAATAATTTCAAACATATGTGGAATCATGGGAGCAGAAGCTCTCCAAAATGTTGAAATCAAATCATCCTTGCGTCAAACAATCTACTAGAAACCACCCCTTGCTTTGATTTTTCAAAATGCACCCCGTATGTTTTTTCACTTCATCTAAAAGAACTTCTCATTCTCAATTCGACTCAACATCTTGGTCGATATAGCGTTATGATCAAAATTATGAAGAAGTAAATGATATTGCAGACTTGCTAATTTGTTACACCCAGTTGGTCCTTGAAAAATCAGAGCTAAATACGAAGTCTGAATAGGTGATATAAGGTAAGTGGAGCAAGTCATTTAGAACTTGGAAAAATCGATATTTTGTCAAGAAAACTTATTGAAATTCTTCGACATTATCGAGGATGAATTTCCTGCTGAATATCTTGTCCGATATATCGCTGAATTGAGAAAGAAAAGTTTCAAAAGACGAGCCGAAAAAAACACAGTGATGCAGTTTGTAAAACCAGAGTATGGTGTGGTTTGACTTCATTATAAAATTCTCGTTTGTTTGTTATATATCCCAGATTTCTGATGCTGGTCTGAAAGCTCTGGGGCACCTGGTATATTTTGCCTAAAGATGGTCTTGGCTAACGGAAGAGGAGTTGATGAACATATTTGAATTGCGATCTCTGACTAAGAGGTATCGCTTTCCCCCAATATACATACAGAAGATGTCTCGTATTCTGCGATAAATTTCTTTGAAACGTGACCACGTTCAAAGGAACATCAGAAATAATTCGTCTACAAGAATTCTCTGTCCTTATACGCAGAGAAAAGTACTAATATTTCCAAAACTTCTCCTTATTGTGAAGTGACTCATCAAAATCTCAAATTTTGAAGTGCATGCCCTTTCCGACTATCAAACGTTCAGTCAGACATATCTTTTTGATATCGACAGTACAGGGTGCGCCTCTTAAAATGGAACCCCTTCCTAACTCTTTTGTTTTCAGAGATGTGAAAAAATGTTGAATCATAAAGTTGTTTGGAACGACCCAAACTTTTATTTCGTGAAGTTACTTCATATTCAGAGTCATTCGTTTTTTCGGAAAGGTCATTAACTTTGATTTCTTCAATGGAACTCCCTATATATTTTCTGACATGTCGATAGAGCTTTCATTTCTGATATACAATGTGACCCATTTAAAATGGAACCACCCCTGTATCTTACGTAATCGTTGGGTAAGGATCCTGAAATTTGCTGGAGCGAGAGATATACCAAAAACGCACTCTATGACCAAGTGGGGTCATCTTCAGTGATATACACTGCTCGCCAACAGCCATGAAACTACCCCAATTTCCGGAAAATGATATTAGGAATCAGAATAGATCGAAAATCACTTCAGATTTGGAATCATGACGCCCAATATACTAACTATTCAAATTTTACCTGGAAAATTATCAGTTCGTAAAAATGAAATTTTAACGCATTTTTTATGGAAGCACCCCCGTATCTCACGTAATTGACTTTATCTTTGGACTTTCTCTTCCTCCGGCAAATTTCAGAACCCTACCTCAATAATCAGATTTTTCAACATCATGAATTTTTTGCGACGAAACGATTCATAATTGGTATCCATGTCCCTGTCTCAACTTTTCACGTACTATTTGATATTTTACTGAAATAGATACAGGGTGGACAAAAATCCGAATCCTGAACCACCCTGTATTTATTACAATTAAATATCAATTGATAGTGAATTGAATATCAATACAGGGGCATGAAAACCATTTTGACCAAATTATGAATAGTTTCGACACAAAAACATCCTAAAGTTGAAAAATCTCGATTTTTCACATCCTATAACTCTGTAATTATTTCTGCTAATGGGTCAATGAAATCAACTTTCCAGGAAGAACCTGAAAATGGTATAATTTACAGGGTGTCCCCTTTTAAAAAAGCAAAGTTGTTACTACTCGCAATGCTGAGAATATTTTAGGTCGATAGAACACAACTAATTGTTCAAGGCACCAACTTGTTGGAATAATCCTGAGTTGCGTTCTCCAGAAACGTTCAATGTGCCATCCACTGTGTATCAGCCTGTATAAATAGCTATTATTGGTGTAACTAAGTAAGGTTAGGATATACAGATTGTTCATCGAATTCACGGGGAGCACCGCTCACCGTTAGATATTCGGGCGCATAATAAATTTCATTTTTAATTCTGACCCAATTATCCAGCGGTGACTAGCGGAGACGTACGATGGCGGGATAACCAGCACAGTTTTATTCTTCTCCTGAAGATGCTAACATAGTTAGCGAAACACGTGTCGAGGTATAAAAATCGGTTTGGTAATGGTAATACAGTGTGTAGCGTATTATCGTGCTAAAGGTTCCAGTCTTCGATATATCTAACAGGAGTATATTTTTTCGATGAATATCTTGCTATTTCTAATTCCTATGAAAATATAATCGCAAACAGATGCCGACCCTGCTCAATATCTTAAAACTAAAGCAGAATATTGATTTTTTATACATTTTTGAATTCAGCATGAAAAGTGAAAAAAACATTCAAACATTCATTAATTTATCTCAAACCACCTTCAAGGTAACTTCTTTAGGAGACTGTAGCTCTCTTTGGTGTATCTTTAAAACTCATATTCATTGAAGCTTTTCCTCTTATTTCTGGTCGAAGAATTCATAGTGCCAGAATATTGCACGCTTCTGTACTTTCCTGGTTGTGAAAATATAACCATTTACTTGGTATACTGATGAAATGAATAGAACTATTCATCGAAATTGGTGGAGTTGAAAGAACTAAATGTTCAAAAGAGCGGGTTTCTTTGTGTAGAGCGCTCGCTCCAGGAATTGTACATAAGGAAAATAATTTCTTAATTTAGATAGAAGGAAATATGTACAGAGTTGATAAATATGTCACTCAGGGTCTGAAGAAAATACATTCGGTCTGGCGGAAATTGATACAAATGGATGAAGCATTCAGACTCGCTCTTTTCAAACCCAAGAATTTCTGTAGAAACAGTATCATGAAATATATATCGAATACAAACAGTGTCTTCTAGAGAAGAATGAATATACACACACCGGCAAAAAATAACCATGTAACTTTTTCACACCTTGTCCTACTTTGATGAAATTCCTACCACATTGTAGATTAATGTTTCAGAATGTTAACCTAAGAGAAGCTGATGGCTTGATCAATATACAGGGAGAAACAATGGTTGCTATTTCACGCTTGATTTAATAAATAAACTTGGCTTCTGCCTGCTTGTTTTAGATCAAAGTGTGATTTCTTTTGAACATAATGGTTTTTGGAAAGAGATATATTAACGTGAATCTATAGAACCATTGTGTTGAGAAGGGACGAAAAGAGATCACATACTTCATCCAAGACATGATGAAACCGAACGTTGGTGAATGACACTGTATTATTGTTAATTAGAATTGAAAAATTCCATACTGTCCTCAAACACTTCTTTCATCTATCAAAACTAATATATTGACGTCAATAAAAAACTTTTGTAAGTGACCACACTTCAAATCAAAACCTAATAAAGCTAACTATTTGCATTCAGGAAAGTTCTCTATTGATAAAAATTTCTCAGAAAACGAATTATAAGAAAATTCTCAGTCATTTTAAAGTCAACTATGGGTAGATACTTCATGGCCACACTGTAGATATATACATATAAATTACCAGAATTTGTAAACAATTATAATTATTTCCCAGTGATAAAAAAATTTCATAATGATTATTTTTTTCTCTGACGAAAAAAGTTCGGCATTTCATCTCTGTTGGCAGGTTATAAAATGTAACTTTTCATAAATTACTTTTTTTCCGTGGGAAAAAAGTGAGTGCCTTTACCCGGATACATATCACATATATATACACTGTTGATGACTTTTGTTGTGCTATAGTTCCGAAAAATAAGTCAATATAATACCGTCACCGAGAAAGAACTGCAAGTCCTTTTATCTTCCATTCGACTTCGCGGTTACGTATATATTTATTTATTTATTTTTTAATAATCCAGAACTGTACAGTTCACAGTTCAACAAATCTAAATTGAAGTCCCTTGATAAAATATTGCACTGATTTTGCATATAATTTATTGGAGAACTATTAAAAGGACTACAAGAAAAGAGATCACAATTGTTTATTCTAAGGTTAATCTTTGGTACATGAAACTCTAAGAAGTTTATCAAGTAGCATGTTTTATATTTATAATTATTCACAACACTATGCAAGAACAAGACACAATGCATATTTCGTCTTTGATGTAATGTTTGGAAGTTGAACATTTCAATCAGATTATTAGTTGGCATAAGATAAGGAAACACTTTATATCTCTTGAAATATAAATACCTCAAGAATCTTTTTTGTACCCTTTCAATCTTCAGGGGCCCATATTACTGATGCATATTCAAGATTTGGTCTGACCAAGGCATTATACAGACGAATTGTTGTGTTTATGCTGAAATGCTTTGAGTTTCTAATCACAAATCCTAGTATTTTGTAGGCCTTTTTAACAATAACGGTATAATGGTCATTAAATTTCATGCTGGCCTGAAGGTTTATTCCCAAGTCTCTACACTTAGTTTTTCTAATTATATCATCATTACCTATCATATTATTATATCTGTATTGGATGAAGTTAATCTTGCGGGGGAATATAACTCCACACTTCCCAACATTTAAGGATTTAAGACCATCTTGTTTTCTTTAAACCACTTTATAACTGAAGTAAGGTCCTCCTGTAATTGTTGACAATCATTAAAAGTGTGTATGGTTTTAAAAAGTTTAAAATCATCTGCAAAAATAAGACTAGAGGAGTATTTGACACAGTCTGGTAATGAGTTAATGAAAATTAAAAAAAGTAGTGGCCCTAAGTAGCTAAACAACCACTGAATTCGCGATTTTTTGAAATAAAATCACAGAATTAGACTGACACAAGTGACATTAGATATTTGATTACTCCAAAAGAATGATAAAGATGCCTACAACGCAAGTATCCCTACTGTTGACAATTTAAAATTTCACGTCAATAATTTTCAAATTTCAAAATAATGTAATATCTTCTCAATATTGATTCGTCCTTTCTTCTGTCACAGAAAAAAATAGTGTATTATACACGGGAAAAATATTGGATTTTAGCTCACGGTTTTTTGGAGCTAAAATCTACTACTTTTTTCCCTTGTATAATAAATAACTATATCGCAATTTGAATTTAGTCCTATATAACATTTTATTATTATGCGAACAACAGATTGTAGCTCCTACTCCAATGGAACGGAGCAAGATACAAAGATTGCTTTGCATAATGCAAACTGGTTATTTCCTATACTGCTATAATACCAATTATCTACCTTATACCTGGCATTATAATTACTAATTGTACTCATTACTATTGCTATTGTGACTGGTGTATAAAACTGATAACCTTGTTTACATTCCACAATAACTCACTCTACTAAACAAATTGATGGTCCATATGGTTTATCAGAAAAACATCACATTTGATAGTCTATGTAGTTCATATTATCATACAGGGGCGTAATTATGATGGGATTTATGATAGCTCGTTCGATTATTTTGTGGTGCATAATATTTCCTGTTATTTGTAAATAACTGTTGTACTCACGTTTGATCGAGAGTAGTAAATAGAAAATCTTCAATAACAAAACTACCATTTAGTGAACTTGTTGGTATTGCCTCACTGTGCTCCTATATTATCCTACCCTATCGTACTCAGCTCTCATGTTTTTTCACGATTTTCAACGGGTTTCCATGTTTCCATCGCTATTCCAGACGTTTTGACGTCTAGAAAACGTGAAAGAACGTAAGAAAAACGTGAGGAACGTGAACAATATTATATATTGTATATAGGGATGAAGAGAGACTGTACGAACACAGGTCTACATAATATCTGCCATTAGTTTCATTGTCTGTCAATGACAGTAAATAAACCCTTATGGAATAGCATATCATTTTCACATCTAATGGCTCATCTAGAATTGACAATCCTTCCATTTTCGAATGGATTATATCCTGAATATCATTTCATATCCAGCTAGGGTACTCCTGTATGGCAAAAAGTGGAAATCAAAAATAACTTTACCTATAATGTGACATATTATCATCCTCTATTGATACTTGATGATGAATGACAAGAATGTTTTCGACACCCTCCCTAACCCAATATATCTTTTCTTCGAAGGCGCCGAATGGACATGGCGATTTTTTCCTCAATTTCGAGTGATAACATGAAATTAAACCAACACGACATTAGACCTAATTGAGAAAAGGAGAAATCACTATGCAGTCTCTTCCTATATAACGATATATACGTCATATTGAGAGAAATAGGAATAGAAAATCCATTTTTAAAACAATACAGCGACTTTTGTGTTTCACTGATTTGTTATAAGCAGGTCGTAGCTGATCACGTGTAGAAAGTTATCATGATGCTGGAAATTCGAAAATCTCTTCGATACTGTCGGGAAAAGGATCGAAAATGATATTTCAGGAGCATCAATTTCAAAAGCTTCATTCATGGCTTGGAACTGGTAATTTTCTGCCTTCAAGATTACCAAATGAAAAAAGAAGCAACGTAAAGTCGGTCGACTACACTTTAAACAGGTTTCGCCACTACGGCCATTATCAGACATCGACCGACTTTGTGTTGCTTCTTTTTTCTTTTGAAATTTCTTTGGACCACTGGGTGATATGGATGATTATCATGATTTATTACAGACCAAGATTCTTAATAATGTATTCATCCAATTTGATAATGAAGAACTTCTGAAATTTACACGGCGTGCTTCCTCACCATCCTCTCTCAAAAAATAATGATGTATACTTGGAGTAGCAACTTCAATATCCTCTTGGTGGCATTGAAGGATTTTTTGATTATCTGGTAATATTTCTTCTTTCAGAAATATAGTGAGTACGTCCCTAAATTAGGGATTTTTATTCTCTAGCGATATAAGTCAAATTTAATTGCTTGAAATTCCTCCGTTCTCTGTTTCGACTACCTGAAAAATTGAGTCGGTAAGCTCCTAACATTTCTTTTTCAATTATCTTCCAGATACTGTCAAATAAAGTATTGATTTCCCAACATCCATTTTCTACATGAGAGTGGCTGCGAACTACTTATAAAAAGTGGATATAAATTGCTTTAGTCCCAAATTTTTTCAGTTCAGATGATGACCAAGAGGATCCGGAACTCTGATGATATCTTCATTTACAAAATTTGGACTATCAATATAATCAGTTTTTCAGAGACAAACATGATTTTGGACAGTGCCGTGCATTTTTATTGAAAGAAAAAAGGGTACATTTTTCATGAAATCATATTAGGAATTCATCCACAGGAAAACAAACCTCAAAATATTGTTCTTCATGGTTTTTAATCGATATCTGTAAATTTTTCTAGAAATAAGGCACATCTAAACAGCATTTTCGGGAATAAATACTCGGGAAGGGTGAGTTCAACAAAAAAAAGTGTCTGTTTTTTCTTTCCAACCAAAATTGTCTACCTATCGGAGCTATCGAACGTTCAGTAATTTGCAATTAATTTGTATTCATCTTTTGACAGGAAATGAAAAAATAAAGCCAGGTAATTTGGAATGAGGTGATAGGGACAGTCAGAAGCAAGAGGAACAATACTATAAAAAGGGTTTACCTGCAAAAAATTACCAATATCTATGATTTCTTAAGAAATCGACCCCATTATAATTTAATAAAAACGCACGGCATTGACCACAGTGATGTTTCTCTCTGAAATGATTATTCATCCGTCTAAATTTGGTAGGAATCACAGGAATAATAAAAGGAACTACGAAATAGCCACAATGCTGAAAGTGGCATGAAATGTTGAATGAATACGAAAAGCTCAGTCATTTCCACACAATATTCATAAAATGAAAAACAATGGTCGATTTCGGGAGAAAAACAACTACTTTCCTGGCTAATGCCATTGTGTAGAAATGACTTTGAACATTTGTTATTTATTTTACACGAATTATAGCTTCTAGATATAGAGCGTAGGCCGTTTAGAGTGAGAAATGCTGTATATCCTTACCATTATCTGACTCCTGTAACTTTCGGAGCGAATAACTTCTTTTTCATTTTCGTCTTCTTTCAGCGCCTTCTCTACATCTTCAATAGGAGGCAATATGGTGATAATCGGTGTAGAGGGCGCTCGTGGATGTACTTCTTCTGCATCGATTCTCCAATTCCGAAAGTTTTGAAGAATTTGCAGTATGTTGGACATGCCTCAGGCGAGTATAACCTCTCTGGTTATCCAGACGTATATACTGCAATCAGAATTCATTCAATGAAAGCTGTTTTTGATGCAAATGTTTGAAATTACTTTTGAGTGCTGTCAGCGTCAACAATAGTAAATATATAAATTCGAGGAGAAACGAAAATGAAGCAATACCTACTCTCATTATTAGCAATGATCTTCTATTCCCTTTTGCATTGTGTAGTTTTCAAAACGACATGTCGCAGCGACAATGCATGGCTGCTTAACAAAATGTAATCCGTATTTTACTCCCTTTTGGGAAACACATTTTAATTTGTTTGTAACGTATTTAACCATAATGTCGTTAGTTTTAAACTGGACCAAAGATATTCTTATGGACAAATTTCGGTGTTAACCTGACGAGTATGCACTGATGATGACTTAACAGTCGAAAGCGCTCTCTACGAATATTGAATTAATTATCTTGCACGAAATACAAATCTTCCCTTCTATGGTTGTGTATTTTTGACATCCTGACGAAATTGGCATAAATAAGTGAATGTAAAAACTCCACAAACGATAACACAGTATATAGCTTTGTCAGGTGATATACTGGTACGATGAACTAAACTAATATTGGCTTGATTATATATCCTACTTTCCAAACCTGAAGGATTAGTTACCTGTGAGCAGGTTCGATAAACCTCCATTTTTGGATATCAGGCACAATATCTACATTAAAATACGGTGTACCGGAATAACTTGAAATGGTTGATATCAAATACATATTATTACTTACTAAGAAAACGAATTCAACAAAGGTGAACTATTGAGGTCTAATTAATCGTGAAATATCAGAATATTTGAGTTTGTTGATTTCTAATGATTCAAAATGATTGAGTTTCATTCCTTAATTTCTACGTGTAGAATTTCAAAATTATCATCGAAAATATGGTTTTCTTTTAATATATGGTTGGCGTATGTTGAATTTTTTTTTTTTCAAAATATTCATCTTATTTTCATGAATGCGCTGATTGAACGTACGACCTGTCTGACCGATATATACCTTAGGACAAGATTCACAGTTGAGTTTGTGTACCCCTGATTTTTCGAATTTAGAAGTTTTGTCTTTAATATTCCTGATAAACCTTCCCAGCGTGTTATTTGTTCTATATGCTACTTTTGAGTCCTGTTTATGTAGAAATGAAGCTAATTTTTCAGTTGATGATCCAAAATAGGGTATACAAGGTTCTATTATTTTGATTATTATTCTTGATGGTAGGATAAACTTCCTGAATGGCTTTATAATGAAGTTTATTAGAAAGAATACTATCTATCAAATTAACGTTGTATCCGTTGTTGACTGCAATCTGTTGTATGGTATTGAGTTCTTTATTGAAATTTACTTCCGAAAGAGAAACATTCACTAGTCTGTGTATCATACTAGTATATGCTGCAAATTTTATGTTTATAAGGGTGTGTTGAATTATTATGAATAGTGATATCATTGTGGGAAGGTCTATGGAAAATTGAAAAATTATTAATTTAACTTATTGTCAAATCTAAAAAATTAATTGAATTTTCTGTTTCTATTTCTATTGTGAATATTATGTTTGAATGAATAGTATTTATATATTGGTGAAAAGTGTCTAATTGTCTATTGGTTTCAATAAAGTTTAAAGCATACTATTATAACATCATCTACGTATCGATACCAATAGAAACATTGTTTCATTAATGAATGTTAATGTATTATTCGCTCCAAGTTATCCATGAAAATTTCAGCAAGTAAAGGGCTCAGTGGATTTCCATAATTAACCCTTTTGACAATTATTGAGCACATACTTTTGGATTGTGCACACTACAGCTCGACTCGCCGCAAACTCAGTGGAACCCTAAAAGACATCCTTGGTGAGCCTAACCAGTTCAAAATTGTTAACCTATTTCTCAATGACTATCGACTGTTCGATTTAATTTGATTTTTATAATCTCATAAGATAGTTATCGTGTCAGTGGCCATAAGATGCCGAAACACGTTAATTTTAGCAATAAAAAAAACATTCTGAATTGATAAAATATAACATTACTACATTCAACATTCTCTTCGCGTCATTACACAATTCTGTTAGATTCAATATTGCTCATTACTCCTCAACTATAGAATTTTGGACAAAAGTGTCTACGGCACTTTTGACTTGAAATTCTTCAAGGAATAGGTATGCCGTTGAGCGTTGGGCATCAGGGACACGGGACACCCTGTATATGTAAGAATATTATGAAAATATTCAGGAATTATCTCCGTGAGAATTTTACGTGATTTTGTATGGATCATGAATCGATTCTTCTAGTATTCACATTTTAATCTTCCACCATCCCTTTCTGCTGGTTCACAATAGTTCCAAACCCATTTTAATTATATCGAATGTACCAATTGATAGGAAAGTCGATAAATTCATCTGAAATTATCATTACATAACCGAAAAATAGCGAGATAATTATTTGGTTCCCAAAGGGCCTTCCTTTGAATATTTAAAGCATTATGACATGGTATACACGTAATCCTCTAATTTAGCCACGTGTACAGGTAAAAAATATAGGGAATCAATTAGTAGATTGGATATGTCGTAATTCTCCATGAACCTAGCTATTTTTTATCTGAGATGTCAGTTACCTTGTAGTGGAAATTCTCAACCTTATCTTCTCCACGTATGGTAAGAATATAGCTAGTATAGAATATATTATATTACTTAGGAAGAGATAATCGGACATAGCCCTCTCAAAAAGTTTACTACAGACACATATTTCGGGCTTTCGGCCCTCATCAGTACGATGGAATAAGTGCAAGGCAACACTTGGTGGATGACCTTTATGATGGCTGTGTCCAAAAATATCTCTCAAGTTTGCTTAAAACAGTTCCCTCAATATTTCTTCCATCATAATAATATTATATACAGGGTGTTTCAAAAAAACCTGACCGCCTTTCTAGGGTAGGTAGAACACTGCAAAATAAGTTGGGTTTACTCAGTAAAAAAATTGCGTAACTGCGTCTGTTATCAAGATACAAGTTGTTGAAAAAATGATTTGTTTACACATTTTTCAAGATTATGTCGAAACTACTAGCAACATTGTAGTGAAATTTTGTATGCATGTTTCTTGGAATCTGACAAATCGCATACATTTGTTTTTATATCTGACTCTCATAGAGGGCGCTAGTTACACGGTTCGTACCGAGTAGTTTTGAACATACTTTTTTTGAGAACAGATTTTTTAATCCAAATTTGATGTGAACTTCAATTTGACACCAAAAAGGTACACCTGGTAATACTCGATACTGTGTTCCGTTTTCGGAATATTTCGATTTGAAAACGATGAAGTGATAACTGTTGCTGGTATAAAGCTATATGTATTAGAGTGAGTATTATGAAATATTATCACCAATTTATTGAAAACTAAAAACAACAATACATTTCTGATGCTTAACTTATTGATTCAACAATGAATCACAAGAATAACATCGAAACAGATTTGACTGAGATCATGGATTACACAGTTTTGTTGTATCTTGAGCAGAAAGTCTATGCTGCAAAGTAAATTCACGTCCAGAGTTGTGAGACATAATAATTGAACATCACTAGAATGACCTAACAGCCAATCCTCAACTGTTAAGAAGAATAATACAATCTTAAGGAAAGAATATAGAATCGTTTTTTCTTCGAAACGTAGGGCATTTTGAACACTTACTCTAACTGATTCAATATTTCATGTTTCAAGTCAAATATCTCTTAACTTCCTACTCATGATTCTTTGTTTCATCAATAACTTCAGCACAAGAATTCTTTATTGTTTTTGAATCTGAATAAATAGGTAACCGAACTCAATAAATTCATTTCATACCAGCATCAGCTGTTCTGAAAACGGAACATGGTATCGAGTTTCACCAAGAGTACCTTTTTGATGTGAAATTGAATGTTCAAGTTCATATCATATTTGGATTGGAAAAAATAACCTCAAAAAAGTCATGTTCTAAACTACTCGGTACGAACCCTGTAACTAGCGCTCTCTATGAGAGTCAGAGAGACAAATTCATGTGATGTGTCAGATTTCAAGAAACATTCATACAAAATGTCAGTACAATGTTGCCATTAGTTTCGACATAATCGTGAAAAATGTGTAAAAAAATCTATTTTTCAACACTTTGTATCATGAAAACGAATGCCGTTACGACATTTTTTCACTTAGCAAACCCAACTTATGTGTGTTCTACCTACCCTAGCAGAGGGGGTTAGGTTTCTTTGAAACACCCTGTTAAATTGAATTAATCACTCCACATGTATCAAAATATTTCATGTTTCCCATCTTTCTCACTCCTCACTGATCAAGATCGATCTTGAAGAATACTCTCCAAAGTAAGTTCAAAATGATCAACTAGGTCATTGAGTATGAATTTTGTTGAATCTCTGCTATCATTCCACCACTAGCAAAACCAGTCAGACGTATACTCAAGAGCAGTCGGCACATTCGTCCGTCTCGAAATATGTCGAACATCTCACTATTGAAACTTGTTAATGAAATAGCGAAAACTCCATTATCTACCTTCTATCTTTATACTCCCTAGGTACGCACTATGTTCTTCGAGCAGTATAGGGATTTCTTTAGTGTGCTCCAAGAGATGGAGAAAATTAGCGGAACATGTCCTCTATAAGTTAAACTCATTCAATTGAAAATGCTCCTGATTGGTCTTCAGGAAATCCATTTGAAGTTTCAAAAGACCAAGTCTATCCTTGGCCTGATATATATACGATATCTAGATTGAGCGTTCAATTTCACACCAATCTTGTTACCAAAGGCAATTACATCATAATTATACTAGATTCATAATATTATGTATCGATCATTATAATTCTAGAACAGCAAGCATCAAATATTTCGCACTAATGTTTAATTTTCAGACAGGAGGTTGATGCTTTTGAAATAATTCAATGATATCCTCACTTGAACGAATGGAAACTTGATATTTTCATTGAACTTTCTTTAGCTCAAAAAAAATGGAGAGATGAATGGATTGTATCT